AAATAAATGTTTTAATGATCGGAACGGATTGAGTGCGAAAATATTAAAATTTTATGTGGTCTTTCATTTCATTACAGAAAAAAGTTTGATGAAGGAAAAAATATTAGATTAATAATTCTGATGCAGAAATATATTCAGACTTCAATAAAATTGTCACATGTCCGGATGAGACAGATTATACATTAAACTATAAATTTTTTTTATTTAACAGGTCTACCATGAAATGTGAAGTAATTTTATTGGAGTTTTGATGCAGTTCTGCATCAGGACTCCTGATGTAATATTTTTCTCATTTCATCCAAATAACATTTTAATTTTGGAATATTTACATACATAGTGCCCAATTCTTATATACGTACTTATCTCATACCAAAACTTTATTTTTTAGATGGTAAGCACACTAACCTATGTATGGAAAGGTGCATTAGACTATTTTCACCATTTCATACATAAAAAAAGGTGTTTACTATGTAAAAATCGAAGTTTGGGTGTGAGATAAGTGAATGCATGAGAATTTGGTATTATGTATTTAAGAAAGAACGATGAGCAGAGACGAAGTGATGTCATCGGAGATCGAGAAGTTAAATGACACAGATTTTGGTTACTAGATGATGCAGATAGAGGACTACCTATATGGGAAGAAACTTCACCTGTTGTTAATGGGAAAGAAGCTGGAAAGGATGGACGAGACAGAATGGAATCTGTTGAATCAACAGGTTCTTGGGGTTATACGATTAACCCGGTTAAGATCTCATGACGCTTTATCAGATATGTATGAAAAGTTATCGGTCAATAACAATGTGCATTTGATAAAAAAGTTATTTAACTTGAAGATGACGGAAGGTGTGTTTGTTGCTCAACACCTGAATGATTTCAATACTATCATAAATCAATTGTCGTCTGTGGAAATTGATTTTAAATATGAGATACGTGTGATGATATTGTTGGTTTCATTATCAAATAGTTGGGAAATCATGAGGATGGCAATTAGCAATTCTGCAGGTAAACCTAAACTGAAATATGATGATATTCGTGATTTAATTTTTTGTTGAGGAGGTGAGCATGAAAGATTCTAGCGGAACCTGGAGTTCGAGTTCGACACTGAATGTTGATTCTAGAGGGAGATCACATGACAGTAACTCAAACAGAGGAAGATCAAAATCAAAATATGGTCAACAGGCAACCTGCTGGAATTATGGCAAGGCTGGCCACATAAAAAGGAAATGCAGGAATCCTAAAAAAAAGAGGAATAATAGTGCTAATATTTAATTGAAGAAATACATAATTCACGATTGTTGAAAGTTCACAGTTCTGTTGATGACTGAATATGGGATTCAGGGGCTTACTTTCATTCATCTTCCCACCGGGAGTTAATGTGAAATTATGTTGCATGTGACTTTGGGAATGTATGTCTGACTGATGGAAAAGCTCTAAACATGATGGGGATGAGAGACGTTGATATTGTCTTTCCTAATAAGAGCAAATGGACTTTACAAAATGTCAGACACATTTCTGAGTTAAAGAAAAACCTCATTTCTGTTGGTTAGCTCAATAAGGGTGGTTATTCAGTCGTGTTCTTAGATAGCACCTAGAAGATTGTCAAAGGAGCATTAGTGCTGGTCGAGGATAAAAAATTGACACAATATATATGACTACAGGTTTACTCAATACTGTTGCTACTACAGTTACAGAGAGCACGACATATCTGTGGCATTGTAGGCTTGGTCACATTAGTCAAATTATGAAAAAAATGCAATATGAGAATTCGAGCAAGTGGGAGCTGACCATAAAAGAGGAGATGGATTCCCTGTCAGGGAATCAGACTTGGGAACCGACAAAACTTCCACAATAGAATGAGATATTGCACAACAAGTGGATGTACCAGGTGAAGATTGTATTTGATGACAGTAAGAGGTGCAAGATTGGACTTGTTGAAAAAGGTTTTCAGCTAAGACAAGATATTGCCAATGCAGTGGGAGTTACAAATAGATACGTGAGTGACCCATGAAAGAGCATGGAGGTACAAGATTATGTTGATGTTGATATGTCAACTGAGGGTGTTACTCTTGAAAAGCTGAAGTTGTGCTCGACTTCAGCTGGTCTTCTGGCATGAAGATCAGGAATTCGAGTTGCAGAGGTGGAGGATTTCATGTTTGAGGAAAAAGATGGTACAACCAGTGGGTGATGCAGCTAGTGTCCCGGTCTCCAAGTGGGAGAATTGTTGAGATTGTGAACCCCGGTCTTGCTCCTATCTTTGGCAACTTCTGCTTCTATGGAAATCATTTAATAATTATTTCTTCCCTAATGTAATCTTTCTTTAATTGCATGTTTAGCCTTTCCAGTAACCTGCTTAATCCAGTTCACGTCTTCTCTGATTAGTTGCAATTAAAGGAGAGCTTCCTTATTGGGCCGAATAAGGAAGCTTTAAATGCACTTCCTGCTAATACGAAAAAGTAGGCAGACTTTGGTTTTTTCCTGGTTTTCTTCTCCTCTGTAGGTGCTATTCTCTCTGTGCTTAATCCCTCCCGTGGCTAGTCCCTAATCTCTCGTTGTTGAAGCTTCGGGCAAGCTTACGGAAAAAGCAAATAAAAACTTTGCTTTTGTTTTCTTCCCCTGGAATCTTCTTCCTACGTGTTTACGGTTGGAGAGGTAGAGAGAGAGAGATAGAGAGAAGGAGCGAGAGAGGAGAGAGAGATTGTTCTTTCTTGTAATCTTCTAAGAAATAAAATTCTCTGTAACTCCGTGGACGTAGGCAATTTGCCAAACCACGTAAATCTATGTGTTTCTATTTTGTAAATTTCTTTTTCCAAATTTTGTTTTATTGCAGTCCTTTTTCACGTGTAGATGAAAAACATGTGACGTGCAATGGCAACAATGGCTAACATGCGATGATGGGTGGTCGGAGGTGACAATGATGGTGATAACAAAAGGAACAATTAGTAGTGACGATGGTTGTCGATAACGGGAAAGGGCAAGAGCGGTGGCTTCAACGACCAGCTGACCATAGTGACCTCATCTGTAGGCATCAATCACACAAAAAAAAAATATTTAAAATTCGTTGAAATATAGTCAATTCTAAATACATTGAAATTAAACTTGAGAATGAATTGCAAATGCATTATAATTCTAAGCTATATATATTTCTTTCTAAGTATCAAGATTTTAGAACTCCTGCAAAAGGAATACGACATTGTTGAATCCTAGGTTGTCTGTTGTCAACATGCCTCAAGAGTTGGAACCAGAAGTAGGAATAAAGAGAAAGAGTACTCAGACCAATTTCTGTCGTGCAGCCGGGAAAAAAATATCTTTATTCAATTTTTTTCCTCCTATTTATAGTGACATGTTTGTATAATTACATAAATGAGGAAAGAATAAAGAAAATTGCCATTAATATGATTAATTATACTGATTTCATACCAAATTTATATGACAATTTAAATTTGAATATGACAGTAACTAGTTGGTCGACTCGCTTGGGTTTGACTGACCAAGGCGATCGATTGAATGATGATCACGCTTACATAATTAAAAACAGGTCGATCGTCAGGTTGTGATCATGCCCTTGTAAGGAGCCTCTAGGCAATTGAGGCTGCAAGAGTGATTTGTCATTTGATTCCATCATCATAGTATGTTGCTTGACTTTGACCAGGCGAACGGTCGTTGAATAAAAAATTCAGATCATGCACTTTTAAAATGACGCCTCGATCATGATTTACGCTGACAATTTTAATGTATACATATTAGTTCCCCGAGTTTTCCTGCCCCTCTAAATTGACAACTAAAATTAGGACAGCAAAACTATTTAATAATTAACAGCGCTAAAATCAAGGAAATCAATGCAATAACTTACTTCCCTTTGGATTTGAGTTCAATGTGCTCTATAAATAGAGTCACAAGTTTGGAATGATATTCGTTGCCATCATTTTTCTTAGCTAACTGAGTTGCATCATGACTAATGGTTTGAGCCAGATCATTGAGGATCCCAAGATTCTCGCCAAGGCGGGCTACGGGCCTTTAGTTTCTGCAAATAAGAACAAGAATAAGAAAGGTAAAATGATGCCAATAGCCTGGGTCGTTGAATTACTTTAGTTTCTGCTCTTTTAATATTGATATCATAGTTAACATTATTCTAAACAACATCGCATCTTGACATTTGTACCCTATAACATTTGTACTCTATATGATTGTTGGGTCAAATCTCAGTCGGCCTACTCGACTTTTGTGATAATATGATTTTGAGCATTTCGACTTTAGAAATAGTTGCTGTTGAGCCGATTTCTTCGGCAAGGAGACCGGTCTAGTCCATTTAGTCAATGAATGAGCTGATCATGGTGGGTGAAGTGGTAACTCGCACTCAGCGGCTACTACTCGGCTACTCGTTTTTGTCAACTCGTTAGCCCTGCGGGACAACTAGGCAAGAGAATGCAACAGTCCGCCTTAGCAAGCTATCTAATTCCTGAGCCCGAGTTCGATCTGGAGGCATTTGGCTATACAACATCGACATTATTAAGAAGAATAAATCCGCCATGAAATTACAATCCATGAGACATCAAATCACCACAGGCTCCCAGATTCCTGGCGCTCTGCATCTTATCTCCACAGCTTTTATTGTAGGTGGAGTGTCGGCGACTGAGCTTGGATCGTATCCCCACAGGCTCACTGAAAACTGCGTAAAAATTTTATATGGACTTGCATGTCTGTATTTTTTAATAGTCTTAGACTGCAGTTTTGTTTCATAGGGAATCGGAAGACTGCGCCAATAATATAAAATGATCCATTAAGGATTAATTACCTTAAAATCACACACTCAAGATAAATTTATAAAATAAAATGCATTCACCTTCATTCAATCTCCTTCAAACCAAAGAGTCATCTGAAAGCACATCACCAAGTCAGTAACAACTTCCATTACATAATAACATTACTCTGTATAAAAATATAAGCATAAATTACATCTCTTATTTATCATCAGTTCAACCGAAGTTGCTTGCATCAGGCTCCACAATCACTTAATGCCAAATGTTTACATGAAAGGGAAAAACCAAAAGTAGATTTACATTTGTACCGCTCAATTTTATTTACATCTCTAACATCAAAACTTCAATTTGTACATGCGTTACCTCCTATGCATGAAAACATGAATTTCACTTCTTAAAAGTTAAAATTGTGGTATTTTGATGTGGTATGAAAGATTTGAGTGGTACAAATGTAAATATATAGGAATTGGGTGGCATGCATGTAAAGTATTTCGATCAAAGTATATCCACACCACTACAACCAATCTTTAAACCTGCACTGCTCACACACAAAACCAGAAGAGGACGCACCTTGAACATTCATGTCTTCCCTGCAGCATGGCCTGTTACATGTGCTGCATTTTGGAAGCTGAAGCCAGCAACCAGCACACAAGACATGTGAGCATGTTGTACCCTCTCCGAGCTCCTCTTCATCCAGGCAGCCTCCGCATTCCTTGCACCTCGCGATGCAGAAGAAGCAACCTCTACATTGGCTCCACCTGTTCTTCATTGTCCTACATTGCACATTAGGAAGATTTTACATACATAGCACTTAATTCCCACGTATTTAAATGTCTAACACCCAAACTTCAATTTTTACATATATGTTATCTTACCTATGCATGAAAAGGTGCATTTTCAATTTTTAGAAGATAAAAAAGTGGTATTTTGACGTGATAAGAAAGATTTAGGTGGCATAGCTGTAAAAAGTAAAGTTAGGTGTTAGATATGTCGATATATAGGATTTGAATGGTGTGTGTGTAAATGTCCCTCTGTATGATATCAAAGTGCTCAAGAGTATTGAAAACTAAACAAAAAGAGTAATACGCAAACTTTAGCTTATGTTATAGTCAAGATGTTTCTTGAATAGTTTTATTTATCTGATTAAAATATAATCTGAATGGATATTGTTTGAGTCAAGTGGTTTCATACAGTTTTGGATTCACTAAGCCAGGTCAATTGGATTGGGAGTGGTCTGAACCAAGTCGAACTACTCAGGGAGAGGAGTTTTTCTTCATGCTGCAGTGTGCAATATACTTTTGTCGGTTAAAAATAACATGAGAGAAAATTTAGTGTTGGCGGTTGTTTAATACAATTTATTGCTGCAGGAGAATACTAGTACTATAAGAAATATGTTGCAAAATAGAATATTGAGCTAAACAACTAGGTAAATTTAATTTAGACTTACAGTTCACTTATTTTGTCCAACATGAAAGCCTTTGTGCTGAACAAACTACATAATAATAAGCCCGATCAGTACTACATAATAATAATTTTAAGAGCAGGAGTTTAGGTTCCTATATCGTTTCGACTCCAATACTAGCCGAGAATTGAGGACAAAATAACAGAACATACATTCTCTCTGCAAAAATAATGGGGTTTTTAATAGATTAAGGGTATGTTTGAGGCAGCTGCAGCTTATCCAGCTTATGCTGATAAGCAGCCTATCCTGACAAGCTGCGTATATGCAGCTGATAATGATAAACTGTTTGTTTGTTTGGTTTGTGCTTTTGGAAAACAACTGATTTGCAGTTGTTTCTGGATAAACGATCATTCTGCCTCTGACCTGTATAAGTTGTTTAACGGTTTGGTATATGTGTTTGGAAAACAGCTGATTTGCAGCTATTTGTGAATAAAAGACAAATCTACCTAATTTGAAATTACAATTAATAAATAAGAACATATTGAAATTACAATTAATAAAAGGATTACAATATTCATTTTAAAATGTAAAAGAAGCATGTCCACTTCGCTCACTCAGTACTCATAGTGCTACCCATGCTCGGAAAGTAGGTAGAATTACGTAGTACGTTTGATGAAATGATTTCTTAAAGAAACAAAATTGAAGATGTTGGTGAAACAATGAGTGTA